CATTTCTACCAGCTCGGGTTACGTGAGCTCAGAGGTGTCCTAGATGGCATTCATAGGTGATAAATATAAATGTGCGCCCACGTTAGTAGGCTGCATTTCCTCCTTTGAATTTGCCAGCTTCTTAGTCATTGTTGGAGCCTCTTTTGATGTATGTTAGTCTATTGACAGCCTAAACAAAATGCAATTTCTTTTCTGAGTTTTTTGAACTCCTGTCACCTTTTACGTCTATAAATGATACTGTGTTCATACAGTATCAATACAGTATCTACATGTGTTTATTAAACCCCCAACCTTGTTACAGTATGTTAAAGGGGTTGGTGGTCGTCTGTGGTTTCATCCTTGTTTACATGACAGAGGATGTGGGCACATATGAAATAAAGAAAATAAACCTGTGGCCTTAAAAACCCTCTTGATCTTATTTTTTTGTCACCTTCTCTGCTTCTAAATTTCTCAAAAAAACCTTCATTTTTCTGCAGTGAAGAGCTGGTTGGTATTTCAACAGAAACTTCTTTTCCATTTTGGATTTTATTGACCTCTCTACAGTGAAGATACAAAAAAAAGCCTGAAAGCACTCCCATGATTTAATAAGCACACTCGTGCATAGATGGAAGGTAACTAAGTACATTTACTCAAGTACTGTACTTGACAACACTTGACTTAACAGCGCTTGACTTTGCAATCTAAAGGTCATTGTACTTCATATCACCATTTCTACTTAATGCTACTTTATAATTCAGTTCCAGAAGGAATTATTGTAATATTTGCTTTCCTACATTTATCTTACTGCACCAGTTGCTGAATACAAAACAAAAACCATCCATCCCTCCGTTTATGCATGGTGGGGTCACAATGGCAACAGGCTGAGCAGGACATTCCACATACCTCAGGAACATCTTCCAGTTCCTCCTGATGTATCCAAGCCAGGTGCACATTCTGGGTCTACCCCGGGATCTCCTCCCAGTTGGACATGTCTAAAAATCCTCCCAAGGACGGTATCCAGGAGGCATCCTAATCAGCTGCCCAAACCACCTAAACTGGCGCCTTTTGATGCACATGAGAAATTACTCTGAGCATCCTCTGGATGTCCGATCTCCACATCCTGTATCTAAGGTTGAGCCCAGCCAACCTATGGAGGAAACTTATGTTGGAATGTGCAGTCTTATAGTTCTGGTCACTATCCAGAGCTCATCAACCATAGCTGAGAGGGAATTAAGTCTGATCAGTAAATGGAGATCTTTGCCTTCCAGCTCAGCTCCCTTTTCACCACAACAGTCCGGCACATTACTGCTGACATCTCATGCTCCATTTTCCCATCACTCATTAACAAGATCGGCAGCAACTAACCCCAAACCCAGAGGGAGCAATCCACCAGTTTGCAGCAGTGAACCACGGCCTTAAACTTGGAGGTTGCTGACTCTCATCCAGTCTCTTCACGCTTGGGTACAAACCATCCCAGTGCATGCTGAAAGTCACAGTCTAATGAAGTCAACAGAACCCCGTCATTCACAAAAGGCAGAGATGCAACTGCAAACCCAGACACCCTGCTCACGATCCTGTCCTTTAAGGATTGGAGACAAGCAGCAACCTTGGCGGAGTCCAACACACACCACAAACGAGTGCAGAGAATATGAATATGCAGCTCTCACTTTGCTTGCACAAAGATCCAACGGCTCGTAGCAACAGTCCTAGTATCCTGTACTCCTGTAGTATGTCTACAGTGTACCCAGGGAGATATAGGCCTGGGATGGTCATGTGGACTGGGTGGTCTAACCCCAGTGACTCCTTCAGCAACTCCACAAGAGCAACAAGCGCTATAAGCTTACTTCTGAACATTAAACCAGTGGTACACAAACCTTTTTTGCCCTTGCCCTTGAAAAAAAAATGCATCTATTGTCATGTTTCTCAGAAACCAAAGAATGATTTCTCCTCTTAGAAGGTAAGAATATTGAACAGAAATCTTGCTATACTGTCATTTGACAACACATCAGTCACCGAGGTCACTTTTTGCAGAATAAGTAGTTTTATTTACGGTACATTTTGTTGATAATACTTGTGTACTTTTACTTGCTTTTATTCAATTCAAAGGTCATTTTAAGTGTAATAGATCCTGACAGTGCAGTCATTAGTTCCTGAAAAATGGGAACACTTTGAGCACTAAGCAAAGCCAAAACCCATCCGTCTCTGGGTCTCAGGCCTTCCTCCTCTTCCATCCGTCTTGAACCTAATTCCTTTTTCAGTTAAGGAGAAATAAACTTAAACAATCATCTTTTCCAAATTTCGAATAGATTTCCAATTTCATACACGGCTCAGCCTCATTACTCTTACCCGTATGCACACTGCCCTCTCTGAATCTAAGAGTCTAGCAGCGTTACGGCAGCGATACACCTTTACAGTCAAGGCCACGAGCTGAAAATGTTAATAGGTTGGTCGTTTTCACAGACTGAAAGGAAGTGTTTCAAAGTGAACATCATCTGTATTTCAATGCAAATGAACTGAATTCCAAATCCAGCATTCAACATTAATTGTATTCATATTAACAAAGAAAAAAAACTTCTGAAACAATATGTAGAACTTTGTGACACACGACACATTTACAATTCAAAGTCTCAGAGCAAACAGAGCAAATGTTGTAGCTCTGGTAGCAGATGGTGCCGTCAGTGAACAAAGCAGAGTGAGCTAACATGATAGAGAGGCAGGCTTATGACTGGTTGCTTGTTGAAAACCATCAACCAGCTTATGGAGTGTCTGTGGGAGAGCAAATGACAACTGCTTTGTCCTCATTCAACAACTTTATGTGCGGCTCCCAACAACACAGTGCAGGACCGTGGTAATGATGGGTAAATGTACATTCTACAGATAGATGTTTCCTTATTAACCTGTATTTTTAGCTGCCTACATACAGATGAATATTCTCCCACACGTGCTGTAACTGTGGTCAGTGGTACGGTGTTGATCATACTAAAACATATGCAGACAATGCAGGGCGTCTGTCATTCATAATCACCGCTCATTCTTCAACAGATATCACATCAACAGACTGAATTATGTGACAGGGCCAAATCTTTTGGCAGGCAGCAAAGCCAGAACGCAGAAAGACTAAGAGAGCTGACAGCTTGTATTTTGACTGAGTCATTCCTGATTATCTGCCTGTTCAGTTTTAGATTATTTCATAATATCAGCTCCCTCTAACAGCACAAATATTTACAGTAGGTGGATTCTAGGTAACAGAAATGCTACAGGATTGAAACTGTGACCATCAAATAGCAAAAATAAAAAGTTTTCACATCCCATATTTCAGTATCTAACAACTAGATGTAATGTGAATGAATCCACAGAGAATGATCACTGAAGTCTGCAGCTCTCCTCGGCTTCAGGAAACTTTACAGCAACTTCACGCTAATTGTTTAGTTGGCCAGCTGTCAAATTTAGTCTTTTGTTCACTCTCATAAAATGCTTTCTTTTCAATGAAAAACCTCTGATAAACCCACCAAACACTACCCTGCGCTGCAGCAAAATGGCACAAAGGCAAACTTAGCGAGTTGCTGTTCAACAAAATGAAGCATTCAGCAGCTAAAGAGCCAGATATTTCCTTTAGGAGTTAGTAGAGACCGAAAACAGAGCTAACGGAGAGTGAATATTGAAATTAATTAGCCAGAAACGCCAGTGAAAGTAAATGATGCTGCTGCTCTGTTAACTGCTGCGTGTCAGGCTGTGGTGGCCAAAGGTTAGAGAGGCGAGCTCGTGTTTGGAAGGTAACTGTGTAGAAGTGGAACTACCCTGAATAAATGCATGTAAAACAAGTTCACCATCCATCCATCAATTATCTATGCACCGGTTAATCCTCACTAGGGTCACAGGGGGGCTGGAGTCTATCCCAGCTGACTCAGGGTGAAGGCAGGGGACACCCTGGACAGGTCACCAGTCTATCACAGGGCTACACTTAGAGACAGACAACCAAGCACACTCACATTCACACCTACGGACAATTTAGAACCACCAATTAACCTCAACATGTTTTTGGATTGTGTGGGAGGAAGCCGGAGAACCCGGAGAGAACCCACTCTGCACGGGGAGAACATGCAAACTCCACGTAGAAAGATCCTGGGACGCGAACTGGGGATTCTCTATCTGTGAGGCAACGGTGCTAACCACTCCTCCACCTTGCAGCCCAAGTTCACCATATTAACTTAATATGTCAGTGTTCGCATATATTCACACTTGTTTTTGCAACAACCAAGTGGAAATTATCATTATTATTTATTCAGTGAAGCCAACTACTTAGCATGCTGTTGGGTAGATAAATCTATATGAAGGCATCATATGTTGTGACATAATCATATATTTTGTCATCTGTCATCTCTTGAGACTACAACAATTAGATAAACAGAGGGAAGAACAAATAAAGATTTCCTTCTGTCGATGTACCGCGTTGCACAAACTGAACTATATTCATGTACACGGACCTCAAATTGTGATAAATCTACTTTCACGTCTGGTGTCCATAAAGAATTCAATCTTTCTACCGAGTTGTAGAAATCAAAGCATCCCGAGATCTGAATCTTTATGGCTTGAGATGAGCCCCGGGCGTGATGATGCAGGATCAATTAAAACATACAGCTGTTCATTTTCCTCCGGCTTTGAGCAATAAACGCTGATTACTCAAGATGCCACAATCTGAAAGTTAATCTTGTGGATTTTCGTTCATTGTGCCCGGTGAACTCACCATCTGATGCTCCCTCTGTTATTCTTTTCTCCTTTCAGTCCATGGATTCTTTTGTTTCCAACAAACTGGGACTGAGCTATCATAACGAGTGCATGCGTATCAGATGTTTCACTTTATAATCAGCAGCAGCTGTGGTCAGGAAGAGCTTCCATCCCAACAAAGGTGGACAAGATGGATTTGAATGATAAACGCTTTTCAGTACAGAGCTCTGTACAATGGCTCAACCTTGGAGCCGATGAAAACGTGTGACTGTGACGGTGTATAGGTGTGCACTCACAGCCAGCAGGCGGTTCTTGTCCTTCTCAGCGTTGTTGAGAGCGTTCTCCAGGGTCACTCTGTGCTTCTTGCCGACTTCCTCCAGGGCTCGAGCCTGACCCTCTTTCATCTGGCTGGTCTCCTCTTCGTATCGGGCTCGCACGTTGTTCATGTCCTTCTCGTGGGACGACTTCTCTTCGCGCAGGGTCTGACAAACACAGAGAATGCACAGGCATGTTTAAATTATGCTCAAAGGTAAGCGCTACGATAGACGGCACACAGGCGCTGAGCTTGGGCTGACATTCACACCGTATGCTGTATTACACAGCCATATTGCCAGTGTTTGCTTTGTGACAGCCAAGGAATTAAATCTCCATTCTGTCTGTCTGTATCTGAAGTTTTGTCTTTTAGACCACTTCAGATTCAAAGTGTTATTACTACGGCAGTAAAAACCCGAGCTGCTGAAGACAGAGTGGGATTGATAATGGGGTTATTGATTACAGAACCATGAAGCCTATCATCAGTGTGCAACATAATCATAACATCATTTCCCATCGTTTGATGCAAATTGTTGTTCAGATATCATTTTCAGCTTTGTGCGCCTGTAAAGCTGATAACAGTGGTAAATTTAACACAAGTGATTTTCTTTCTAGTTTTTTAAAAGCAATGAGTCTTCACAGAGAAAGGAGAAAAGATGTTTTTTTTGTAGCCTATAACCATTTAAAATCTCCAGTTAGCCGATACGTTAGTGAGAAAGATTTGTTTTACATTTAAAACCATCTTAAAATGTTTTTTTTTGTTTTTTTTACAGTACTGTTCTTGTATTGTATATACAACGAGATATCTCTAATACTACAGCTCAGTATTGTATGAGGTGCTATCAAAAGGCCAGGAGACCGTTGATGGTATATGCACACAGTGTGCATCACCGACATGTGCCAGGACACCACACATCAACAGCAGGATCTGTGCTACAAGCCTTTTTGTGACCACTGGTAGATCATCAGATTTTGCCACCCTGTGACTTCCTCCCGTTCCCCAAAATAAGTTTCAATTTAAAGGCTCCCTATTTTGACACAGTTCTGGAGATTCAGGCTCACTGCAGATGGCACTTGACATGTTTACATCACAGGACTTCCAGGGAACATCACAACTGTTGCAGAAGCTCTGAAAGCGCTTTGGAGAGAAACCCGATGTTTAGCGCGCCTGCTGTGCCAAGTCAAGTTCGCTAAGCTAATTAGGACAACCATGGACAAACTAGTGCAATTAAGCACGACGCTCAGTGATTTGCTATTGATTAGCTTGTGGTTAAATAGGAAGAGTGGTTAAAAAGAAGTGAACTGGTGGAATAACAGTGGTAGGTGGGAAAATACATGGATGCACAACAACCAAAAGATGTTGTTTAGAGGGCGCAGAGGAGAACGAATGAAGCCCGGCTGATTTAAGTCGTCGCTAAGCTCCATATATTGTGTAACAGAGAGACGAGCTGACAGGGAAGAACAAATGCCCTCTATACCCAGCAACAGGGCACCGGGGTTGTCATTGGAACGTTGGTACAGTGTGAATCAAGGATAGCGGTGTTAAAAAAGATGACTTTCTTAGGAAACAGGAGGGGAAAAAAACAAATCTGCAGCCCATATAGTATGGGTTTAATCAGGGGAGCAGCTGTTCCTTCATTGCATGGTTTTAACAAAATTTTAATTGGCCAAATCTTGCCAAAAAAGGCCACATGGGAACAGTAATATCCATTAGTTCAGCTGACATTAGGCACAGGAAAAGACTCCTCCAGTGGGCTAACACACTCTGAGTATATATCCTGGTAAATGGTATACCGAGATCATCTGACTGCTAATGAGACTACATTTGAAATCAGCAGATCTGCTTGCAGCTGAAGTTTTCCAGCACTCTCCTGGCATTTCTACAAAGTAAATACAATGTGAAACTTTTCTCTTTTTTCCTATGGTGCATTAAGATGTCTTTGCTTTTTAGGCATCACAGAATGTCCAATACTTGTTCTTTTTAATTACACTAGGTGTTTGACATTCACAAAACAGTTTAGATTAAAGGCTCCCTGTGGGGTTTTACAGCTCTACCAGCGTTACGGAGCTAAGCTACGAGCGGTTCCCTGTTTTCTTTATCTTACGCATGAGGATGCACATTGACACCTGTTCATGCAGAAATGCAATAGACCAAGCGACGGTGTCACACTGCTCAACTCATCAGGATACGCTACAACAGAACAGCAGAGGCAGGGAAGAAGACAGCAAGAGCCGAAAATTGGATGCAAACAATGAAGAATTAACCCTCGGAACCCCAAAACACACTGGTAGGTGTGAAAGGCATGTTGTCTTTCTTCTTCTTTTTTAAAATCGAACTTATTACACCTTATATCAGAGCCAGAAACTGTAAAAACAGAAAGAATCATTGGATTTTCAACTTTCTGCAGGTTCTAAAATATTCACCTGATCACCTGTGATGTGCTGTTCTGTCGGGAAACTTGACCCAATCAAAGCTTAAAATTGCGATCTTTCTGCAAAATTACTTTATTCTCTCACTTTTTTATTTTTTGCTCTAACCAGATCCTGTAAAAAACAAAAAAAACAAAAAAAAAAAACAGCTTTTCAAAGAAATCAACCTTATAGGCAATAGTGACTCAGATGCCACCAACAGTCACCTGAAAACAAAAAAAAGTGACTATTCACGAGGCAAGTATGAAAACAAAAGAATGGAATTAACAACATCTCTATACAGTGTAGAGTCACCATTATTTCCCCCAGTATTACCAACATCTTTGGCCAATTTCATCAGGATATTATCAGCTCAGCATCAAGCTCTGCAGAAGCCTGATAACGATCCTGATCATTTGAATCAGGTGTGTTAGAAGAAGGAAACATCTAAAACTTGCAGGATTGCGGCCCTCGAGGACCGGAGTTCGAGACCCCTGATCTAAAGAATGCTGTACATCTTAATTCTCTTTTTCTGTTTTTGCTTTTGGAAAATAAATAGTAAAGAAAAATCACCTTTCCTATCTTTTATGATTTATGGAATTAGAACTTTGTTAAACTGTATAGAAGACATTTTTAATTCTCTCTCCTTCTAGTCATGGTTGTGCTGTTTCCATAGAGGTGCAGGACTTCATATTGCAAAGAAACGCCAAGAAGCTGCTTGGGGTTTAGAGAGTTAAAACACTTAAAAACTGGCTTTACCAATGTTTTATTCATTCATTTATTCATTCATTTCATCCACACAATGCTCTCCGGTCAGCAATACTGAAATGAATACATAGCTCCACAGGGCCCTTTAAATCAGCTAAATTCATTAATTGTATTTTTTTTTTTATTGCTAGCATGTACTGATGAATATGCCAAAGTCCTCACTTATCACATGAGCTAGACTTAAAACACTGCAAAACTGCTCCAAGAAAATCTAAATGGTGAGTGAGTGATAAGCCACAGCTGCCACACTGTTAATATGCCTAAAAAGATAATACATGCAACATTCCTTTTGTTAGAGATGTACATTTTTGAATTTGTTTATCCTTAACAGTCACATTAAAACTAGTGAATATCTGGCAGATGATCACACACTGGCAACATGAACAAACTTGAATCTCCCATCAAAGAGCAATCACACTGGTGTGCAATAATTGCCCCCAAACCAAAGGCTCTTTTGGAAATCAACCGAGAAACATCTAACAAACCGGTCAAACTGAGCGAGACTGCTATTTTATCATATGGCCAACAAAGCCGAGGGGCAAACATCTCCACAGCGCGACATAAACGACGGGGCGTGAACATCCTGGGAGGTTAATTTCTCCTTTTGTGGAAAGGCAGCGGGGAAAAAACTCAAAGGAATAAGTGAATGAGGAAAAGACAATGGTAATAAGACAGAAGATTAAAGAAAACCAAGCCTTCCATTACTCTAATGACTTTTCCGCCGTGTTCCCTAATTAAGTCTGACCACTGAAATGATCTCAATTTTTCTCTCAATGTGCAATCGCTGCTTATTTTCAATGATCTCCAGAAAACATTCTTCATGCAAAGAGTTAAATAACACAATATGTGCTTTTAACATAAATGGATAAAATATAAATTTACATTCACTCATTACATATTTCTGTCGAGCATTGTTGGTTTGTTTTCCATCGCAATAGTTGCATTTATGCATCGCCTGTCCTTGTAATATGCTTTACAATCACTCTGCTCCATATGAACAGTCGGGGTGTTGGTCTGGTTCAACTAAAATACACTGCTAGTTTAACACACACTGCAATAAGAAGACATGCTGATCCATTTCCTGTGTTGCTCATTAGTAATTTTTAAAGCCGACACCATCCAGAGCTGTGAGCACATCTGCAGCTCTGCCTGCTGTGATGCTGAAGCTGTGGCTTGAATTCTGGTTACTGTTTGGTCAATCCTAACAATGACTACAGATGTAGTGACAGCTGTATGTACAAGGCTGCAGTCACACAGTGTCTCAGTCATGAAAGAGCTGCAACTCCTTTTGTTTTCTGTCTTAACGTTGCCCCGACTTCCTGCAGTCACAACCAGCAGCAGTCTATAGGCGACATGATTCTGTATCATAGTGCAGCTCCTCATGCTGAGGCTACATACAGCGCTCCCTCAGCTGTAGCCAATGGAGCATTCTGGCTGTGAAATATGTGTTTACGGGTTCAAACACCAACAGCATGCAGCGATAGTGTGGCTGCAGTGGTAGTTTTGATGGCTGAGGGTTGTATTGGAGCTGCTGCATTGCTGAAAAACCTAAATAAGCAACATCTGTCACCGAAGCGCCATCGGTTCATATAGTAACAGCTGGACCTATCAATAGCACCACACACTGAACCACAGCAGCTGCCAAAGTCCTAACAATACACATATAGGGAGCCGCTGCATCACCTGTGGCTGCAGGTGCGCTCACAACCAGCATCTGGATAGTGTCGGAGACCCACCGTTAAAAATCAATGATGAGCAATAAACGCATCCTCTGAAGCGTCACATCGTCTCTCCTACGTCTCTACATTCTGCAGTGTTTCCCTGAACTCAATAAAACAGACAGTGCTTCTTTTAAGAATAAGGTTAGCACTTGTGAATCAGCAGCACGACTGATGTTCTATTTTTTATTTGCAAGGTTTGGTGTGTATTTTATAGCAATGTGTTTGCAGTAAATACATATGAAATTTAACTGCATTGTCAAGTTTAGTTTTTTTTTTTAATAACGTAAGATAATGGTGATTATACTGAATAGCTGTATTTTTGCAAGGTTGTGTCAGTACACGTACATTTCACAGATTAGAAAATGATAAATATAAAACCTGCTTTGATTTTTACCACGTTGCCAACTTGATTTCAGGTTAGAAAACCAATATTTCCCCAACGTTCCTGCAAGGAATCCGTTTAAAGCCGAAATCACTTGAGCTCCGGGGGACGACGCTGCCGCAGCAACAGAAAGGTGCCGTAAAGTTTAAGTGATCCCAGATCTGCTATTATCCTCGGGAAGACATTCAAATTCACAGCAGCCTCGCTCGGTGGGAGAACTCTCCCGGCTCCCAGAGGATTACACTGCACAAATGTCAGAGATAAAAGGATGGGAAAACACACATGAAGCAGCAACACTTGACATTTACTGTCGGCTGTGGTTGGTCTGCTGACTACACTGTTCCTTAAATCATCTGACCTTTAAGCGTCTTGGTTTTAAAAACGAGGAGCAGCTTTCCTTTTTTTTTTTCAAAGTTTTGTAAATGCTGTGAACGACAGTTTTGACCCTGTCCATTGTTTGGTGACTCTGGGTCAATTTTCTTTTCCTAACAAGACATTTTAAACTTTTTTTTTTAAACCTATGTTTTTCCTCTAATCCGTAGAAAGCTGTAGGATCGCCTCTGCTTCTATAAAGACAGGCAGACTGAAGGGCAGTAATGGAGGGAGGTTCTTTCTGCATGCTACACAGCCTATCATGCCTAAAATTGTTGCATTCTCTACAGAGAACTCCCCCAAATAAATAATTCAAATCAAATACTCCTTTTACATCTGTAAAAACTGGATTTGGGAAAAACATTAACCTCACAAGAGTACACACGGGGATTACGCGCTCTGTAAAATCACAGAAAAGTCAGTGTTGCAAACTAAAATAAATAAGAAAAAAAGTTTTCTTCTAATTTTTGGGGTAACTGAGTATTTTTGCCTTTTCACTCAGGCCACATAGAGAAGGCTGAATAAAAAGTTCCTCCTTTGTTCCCCTAATCTTTAACATAAAAATCCGGCCTTGCTGACTCTAAAATTACAATGCTCCAAACTGCATCTTGTCACCAAAAGAACAGTATCAATAAAACCATTTGACAGTCTCTTAAACTCATAACGCCCTTGCCTGCATCCTGATTACTTGGTGGAGTACAGGTGGTTTAAAATCAAGGTTGTTTTATGCAAAGAGCTACACGCTAAAGTATGAGCACTGAATTTTTCCTATATTTCAAAGATGAAAAGCCAGTCTGGAGCAAAGTGTACAGAAAAGTTCCGTCACAGCATCTTGATGACTTATTGGTTATTCATAAGAGTTACTTCCAGCCTGCCGTGAATACAAAACACACAACCGCCAAACACACACACCTTCTCCAGGGATTGGATCTGCTGCTTCTGCCTTTCATCCAGGGCTTGGCTCTGGCTCTGCAGGGCCTCTCTCTCCTCCTCCATCCTCAGCACCTTGTCCTTCAGCCGGCTTCGCTCGTTGTCCAGGTCCCTGATGGCTGCTTCCTGGGTCATCTGGGTGGCCTGCAGGCTGCTGATCTGACCTATGGCGGCACACAGTCGACAGGCGTGAGAGGAATGCAAATATCAACGCATGTTGTCATTCTTGTCTGTTGCTATTATTGTATCCAACACATGAAAAATGCACTGCTGTCAGTAAGTTTCAATTTGCAACTTGCTCCTTAATTGCTATTTCATTTCATGTCATTCATTCAGCCTGAGACTGTGTTCGTGTTCTAACATTTCTTGCCAATGACATTCTCAATCAACATGGAAGCTGCAGCAGAGGCTGGTAGGAGCAGTAGTGACAGAGAGCAGCGTCAAATATCAAATATTGTTTAAGAGTTGCTGTTTCTGTAAATCATCTTAAATTTACAGCTGTGTCAATCTCATCCACGCTTACTGCTATTTTGTGGCAATTTTAAATGGCTGTAGATACAGTAGGCAGCTTACTATCATTCTGTTGTTGTACCTGAAAAACAGCTGTTAACACAACACCAGTTAGCTGGATTTAAAGGAAACTCTGGCTTAATAAAACCTGGATCAAAGAGTTTTAGCCACTGTTTCTACCAGTTATGACATTCAGGTAACCAAACAAACATATAATTATTGCCACAACCGCTATAAACATACTTTACAGAAGGGCTGAAACAACTCCTTCACAAACTCAATTAATTTGATTACTGAAACTTGAAATTTGCTGTCACTATATGTAAATTCACTGTGTTTGGTGCAAATTTCAAAATTAACAAAGTGAGTGAAAATATCAAGAGACAAAGAGACTAGACAAGCTGGAGAAAATAAAATGAAGTGTCATGAGTTTATGCTCATTTCATGTAGGAAACAGCCAAAACTCTGTACAGTGAGTCTCCTGTAAAAAGCAGCCTGCCACAGTAATACAATGTCATTGTTTCCACATGACAGAAGCATCCAGTCCACAGATTGGGCCTAACACAAGGTACCGTTGACGTTAGCATGAGCTAAGACAAGAGCCTTTAGATCCTGTCTACAACAAGTAACACACTGACAGCTAAGCTACATAACTGAAGCTACGTTGTCCAAACGTTAGCCAGCAACATGGAGCTGTGTCACCTGTTACATCGACCAAACTGGATTTATGTGATGCCTGCAACACTATAAGTACAAGGCAGATCTGTCTAGTGTACTGCTTTACTAGTTTGCCTCAAACATCATTCACTCTGATGTAAATCTATCAGTACGTTGTCTGAACATCAGATATTTTGTTGCAGGTGTCATGTTATTTAGTACTCCTGTTGGATTAAAACACGTGACTTCTAAGTAACCTTGGAGGACGTTTGGCCTGAAAGTCATTCTTTATCTCCACTAACTCTGTGTAGCACTCAGTTCAGGTATGGTGGTTATAATTTATGCAACTGTAGGCTCATTTTTCACAGCAGTATGAAGTCAGCACTACTTTGCACATCAGCTCTGGACAGATAGTTCACCACGCTGAATGTATCTTCCAACAACTTGATGACAACTTTGCCTCTGTTCACTGCATGCTGCATTTATTTTATTGATTAAGTGTGTTTTATTTCCTTCTCAATCTCTCTGTGCCGGCAGTTCCCCTGAAAAGTGCAGAAATTTTAGTTTTTTGGGGGGGAAATGCTTAATTTTTCATTAGTTTTTAAAAACACTAAATGTAGACTAAAGTGGCTTTACATCAGAATCTTACATTTAGATCTGGTTATTTTTGTTTATTATGTTACACGATTCTTCAAGTAATCAGCTGAACACCTCACCATTCTTTCTGTTTTTATAGTTTCTGGCTCCAATAAATGGTGAATTTTTTCAACTTGTTTTCTCTTCTGTTTATTTACTATTTCATTTTAGTAAATAAAACAAATTGCTTTTCTGATTACTTGAATAATTGATGGAAAAATTTGCAATCTTGATAACTGAAAAAAACAAGGCTGCTGTTCTCGTACATTATTGTAGCTGATAATAATTAAAACTACAAAAATAAACTTCAAATGTTAACATAAGTTTTCACAAATACTTCATTAATACAGCCTATAAAAATGTAGCTAATCAGTTGCGATGAAGGTTTAATTGTCATTGCCTTCAAAGCAACCTTGAGAGGCTCTGCGCGGCGCTCAATGTGACTGTCATGGTTGCATTTACCAGCTGGCTTGTATTTGTCTCTCTAACATGCAAGCAGCTCTGGTGGAAGGCGATAAAACATCCTCACTGGGCACAAGGAGCTCATAGGAGCTAATGGGCCGAGTACGAATTTGCGCTAAGATGCTGCGATTGCTCACACATTTCAGGCAGTAATGTTTATGCAATGTTGTTGCGCAAAGTAGTGACGGAGAGACATCGCACGATATTAAATCAAATTCTAACATGCAACAATTTACCCAGCGCAAGTGCACACAAACCCACACTTTAAACTGGGCATAATTGATGTAAGAAGGGCCTTCTCTGCCTCCGAGGGACTGGGAACACCATTATCTTGGATATACAGCAATACGCTATTAAAGCGTTACATGCCATGATGCCTTAGATAAGGAGAGGAGGGCTGTTTGTGGGCTGTGTTTGATGCGTTTGCACGACAAACCCTGGGTGCATCTTGAGGGTGATGAAGAGAAGAGAAGAGAAGAGAGAAGAAGGGAAGAGGTTGAGGGTCTTACTGGCTTTGAGGAGTATTTCAGTTGCTTGCTGCTGAACTCGGTCTCTGGCCGCCTCTAGTTCACACTCAGCCTCCTTCTGACGGATCTCTACAATCTCTGAGTTCTGGGTCACCTCGTCCAGCTGCTTGGTTAAGTCCTGCAGATGAGTCAAGTCAACAGAAAACAGACGAGACAAATGAAAACTGTGTTAGGACAAGGCAGCCACATCTGAGTCAAGAGAAAAAAAAAACACACACCAAGAAGTCTGTAAATGAACTGAAAGCCAGAGTCAGAAGGGGAAATAATACATTTACAATCCAGCCACTGTTTGAGCGACTCCAGTGCATGAACAGATGGATGTACGTCACTATCACATCACTGTTGTGGTTCAACTCTCACTCATTTCCAGCAGGTAGCTGTTTTCACCCACATTTCCAGACACTTTATAGAGCAGCTGGTGAACCTACTGGACCACTTAGCCTCCTAATGGCTACATGAGAGTGAGTATTAGACTTAGATTCATCAGCTGGCCGGAAACATGGCTCCAAATGAATGATAATGTTGCTCTATCACTTCTAGATGTGTAAATAAGCGAGTGTTTCCGAACAAGTTTATCATATGAACTTTAAAAGTGATGATATGTCAGTGTTTTGTTTACGGCTTGTTTCTCCTGCACCTAAATGCCAAAGTCCTCAGTTATTGCAGGTTTAATAGAATACAATAGAATAAAATAGAATAGAATAAAACTTTATTGATTTATTATTTATAAATGGTAAAAGAGATATAAAGAAATAAGGGAGCAGTTACTAAACTGTTAGAGGAAACATTTATTGGTTCTGATGGACTGACTGGAGTAAAAATACAGTAAAAACAAAGGTTCTTGTTGCACTTTTTGCCCATGTACCTGTCAGATATTGGTCATGACTGGCTCTGATCCTTCAAAGAGTCTTTGGACAAGACGCTGAACCCAAAGTTCCCCGATAACAACCCTGCACGACAACTCTGCCACTAGTGGTGTGCTAGTATGTTAATGGGTGAAAACACATTGCAAAGTCCTTTGTAGAACATAGTTTAGTTTAAAAAGCGCTACATATATATTATCCCATAACGGTTAGAATCGGATAAAATAAAGGTGGTTGAATTGAACTAACTGAAGTGTCATTAGTCAGTTACTATTTCCACATGATTTCCACTATTTTCTGTGGTTTAATAGAGAAATTGTTCATCTCAAGGCTATTAAATCAAGTTTTATACCTTATTAACAGATCCATGTAATGTTTATTATGTCAGTAGACATATAAACAAAGCAAGTAATAACACCATGGATGAACTTTCATCTAGAAATTGTAGTGTACTGATGACTGTTAAAACCAGATTCAGACTTCCAGAGTTTCATATGTATCAGAACTCAACAATCAGTCCTAGCATCTTGAAGGAATGCAGCTTTCTATATCATTATTCTTCTTCAGCAACTGCTTCCAATAAAAACATGTACGGCTGAATCACTCCAACACTACAGTAGTAGTAGTGGAGTGTAGAGTAGTTTTACAGTGTTTGAGAGGAGTTGTAGGTGAGCTGGTGTGCTGAACTGCAGCGAGTATCAGATGGATGAGTGGAGATAGAGGCAGAGAATACATAGATCTGCACATTCTGAATCAAATCAAAATCAAATCAAGTTTATTGTCATTTTGCTGTACATACAGGGTAGTACAGGCAAGATGAGAGAGCGTTTCTTCAGGATCATTTAATTTGTAAGTTTTACAGAATGTACGTCTGGGATAAAACACTAAACGCTCACTCTCGCTGTCTCCTGAAGGGGCCGCTGTGTCCATGTGCGCCGTCATCTAAAGTAGGAAAGAAGTTACTTCTGAAGCTTTTCAAGGCAGGAAATTATAATTTTTTTATGGAAAAAAACACAACTTTTAAATGCCATTTTGATACATAAAGATGAGTTTCTAGGGGTTAAATTACCAACCAGAGCGGAACTTCAGTTTCAATATTCAACTGGCTGCATTTAACTAAGCATCTATTGACATTACATCATGGATTTCGTTGCAAAGCCAAACCTTACAGCACCGATGTGGGCACATTTTGGTTTGAAGCCAAATGAAAAAGGAAAGCCCAAAAACACGGAGGACTCAATTTGCTCCATTTGGAGCAAAAAAGTGGTGATTATAGGTGTCAATACAGCTAATCTAAAAATAATAGAGGTACAAAAATAAGCAGAAAGAGTCAAAGAGTCTCAGAGCTATGCGACTGCGGGCATTAATACCTTTAAAAAGTTAACTGTAAACAGTCAACCATAAAATTAAAATTTGCAATATATATTCGTATTTGTAGCAATTAAGAGACTGTGAGGCACATTTATTAAAGAAGGACAAAAGCATAGTTTGAAACATACAACATAAAATATACAGCTACTGAAATAAAGGAAACATCATCTGCATCTTAACCAACATGTAACTAAAAAGCAGCTGATACATGTTTAGTTTAGCATATTTTAATTACACAGTTTTAATGAGTTTCCAGGAATCTCAGATTTCCATGGCTAGTTTGTCAAACTTACATAATAAAAAACATTGGTATCATATTATTAATACTGGAGATCAGGAATGTAAATGCGGACTGCTGCTCAATTAATAAGAACTAGACTTCAGGGAGAGATTTGATGAGGACACACACACACATTCACCCAGTGAGAGTACAGTAGCTGTGTGATTTAGCACTCTGTAAGAACTCATGAGAGGCAATTTCACATCTTTCAATCCCATCAAACAGCCTGCCTCAAACTTAATTACTGCTGCTATGGCTAAGACAATGAAACCTCAGTATGATGATAACCACTGAGGAATCACGCAAATTAGACTTGATGTGTGTGAGTGAGTTAGAGTGTGTGTGTGTGAGAGGGTGTGTGTATGCTGATTTCCCTGATGAGCCCATGGTGGGTAGTTGCACTTTGTGCCCACCAGGTTTAGATAAGAAACCCACAAGGGTAAAAGAGAATGTTTCATCCATCCTGTAAATCTTTGTGAGGAACGTTTTCAGTTTTAGGCCTCAAGGGTTCGATTTTTTTTTTTTTTTTTTATCTCCCTTCTTCAAAGAGCCATTTGAAGGTTATAGTAAGATGAATTTTTATGGTGAAGGTTAACACTAGGTATGGTAAAGCTCAGGCTTGGGCAGGTTATTAGGAGGGTAAAAGTTATGACTATGTTAATGGTATGAGGGTTCAATAGGAGTTAAGTGAAAGCGACAGCTGTTGGGAAACTGGGACATTTAGTGGAGTCCTCATTTCCTCAAAAAGCTGTTTTAGGATAAACACTTGGCTCAAGGGTTAAATTAAGAATTGGGTTAGGAAGGGGTTAGACATGGAGCTGTTTGTGGAAATGCAGGATTCAAGTCCAGTGAGGATGACGGACAGAAGTGAGGCATGTTTGTGTGTGTGTATCACCATGTCTGTATACATGTGGACTCAACTGACCTGATACATTTTTGTCCAGAAGACATTTTGGAAAAGTGTGGACATTTCGAAGATTAAAGGATAAGTCCAGTGGTGTTCAACATTTTTTCTCATAACCACTCGGTTCCCTGGGCTTCCCCCAGCACTCGATGATTTGTCTCACCCGCCAGCCTCACTGTACAGTATACACCTCGGTGTTCCAGGTTCTGGCTGCTGAATCTTGGAAATGCCAACACACATTTTCTGCTCTTCAGTCCTGCTACACTTAAGTGAGTCCTCCTTTTGGTATTTACTTAGCTGAAAGCTGCTGTCTCTGGCTCATTTAGTGAGGCCAATGTGCTGCCTGTCCTGGCAGTGGATTCCCTTCTCAGTGCTGTAAATGTTGTGCTAAGAGAGAAATATTAAGTAATTTAAACCCTCAATCTCTCCTACAGTGTGTTCTCTGCACTTGTATCCAGACAGGCAGAAATACACTTGTGTTTATCACTTCTCTGTTGCTTTCTGCCCCAAGCTCATTTGTTTTCTACCAAGCAGCAACATCCAGGGTTGAACAATGAAGCCAGAACAGGAGTCAAAAACTGCAGTTCCTCCAATGGCCACTTGAGGCTGGCTCCAAAAGTAAGTCTGTCCTCATAGAATGGACAGCTTTAAGGCAGAAAAAAACATGTTTACAGCCTGGTACGCATATTCTTTTTGGTCTCTGTAGCTTCTTCTCCGGGTCATAACAACTGCACAGGGGTAAATGATAATATAAATGACCTGTTTAGAGAGCATTGAGTCTTAAGGTTGCTTTCACAGAACATATATTGGCATGGCTTGAGGGCTACTCATGCTCCACCTCTTTCTTTACTAATTTTTTAAGTTAGGCCAGCGTTACACTCTCCGCTGCAGTAAGTCTGTCATAGTCCATGGGATTTAACTTCATGATTTATCTAAGTTCACTCAGTGACTGCGCTACATAGGGCAATAATGCAAATGTTCTTTAGTACTGCATATGCATGGAATATGCAGATATGACCTATAGCACATGTATAGAATGGAGTTTCCAGCAGATTAAAAAAATCGGACTTCAGTGGACTACAAAAATAAAAAAAGTGTATTTGTTATGGACCATTTTCAGTTGTGGATTAACACACACTATTGATTATTTTATGCATGCACTGTGAAACACACTGTAAGGCCCTTTGTAGAACCTTCTTACCTACTTCATAGACCTGCCCATTCTGAAGGAGTTGTTAAGTTACATCAAAGGCATTTAAAGCTGGGGAGGGGATTAGCTTCATGAAAAATACATGAAGAATTATGTCAGTTTGATAAGCAGACATGAGTTTTTATGGGCTAATCAATGACCAGAGAGGCACTATAATTTCAATACTCGACACACTGCATTTTGATGAGCGTCCGTTGACATTAACACATAGATTTAGCTGTGGAGCCAGACATCCCAGCAATGGTGTGGGCACATTTTGGTTGGAAGCCAAATGAAAAAGCAGAGCCCAATAACTTACCATCAAATACTATTGAGTATTTTAGGCATAAAGTATGTGATGTGACTCACTGAAATACAGCATCCCTACTTGTAAGGAACATAATCCAATGCCACTGTGTGTCCTATCTACATGATTTAATAGTTTTTGTACAACAATGGAGTATGGATGGCAACACAGACAATTCTAATTAGTTAGAGCAATTCTTGTGTGGTGAAAACATACTGTTAATGGGGGTTCCCACAAGCATAGTGTACATCTGTGTGAATTATGTTAGCATAGGAGTGTAAAACATTTTAATTAATTGTATCTCTGTTGATGTATCTGTGCTGACATTTAGTCATTACAGCTGATTCACCCCTCATCATATTTAAACTCTGACAGAATCACACACGCTCTCACGCACAGCCTCACCTCTGTCAATCATCCTTATTGGACCTGGCTGGGTCCTGCATTGCCATTTACATTTAAAAGGCCCGGAGAAAACTGTGCTTCCGATGATTTACTGTTTTATCTTTTTCAAAGCGTCCACCAACTAGTCCAGATAAGCTTTACCTGAGAATGAAGCATTTAGTCCAAAGACAGTGACAGTAGCAATTTAACACAGCTTCAGTGGAGGATTTCACTTGGGGGATAATTTGTAAGTTTTGGCATGCATATTCCAACGGAAGCTTGCGAACAGTCAGCCATTAATTACGTCTGTCTGGGTTACTCCAAGCGATCATTTGCTTGCATTTCTCTGGAGATTTGCCTAATAAATCATAAGCTAAAAGAGGATGACAGAGAACAGTGAAGCAAGAAGCTGTAGCATCCTGACATCAACCACGAGTGCTTTACACTGGAGTTAAGTCGATATTTGATGCAACTATTTCTCCCCATGAAGTGTGCTGGTACACTAATTATGCATCCTGAGACTAGGCAACATCTTGATTCGGTGTCACATTTTAATTTTCCAGAGTCAAAATAAATTTAGCGAGAAGTCTAAAAACATCCCTACTGTTACCGAGAAGCGAGATGTACATTGTAATGACGTGAAAATCGAACCAAAGATTAAAACGTCTGCTGTGCGCTAGCTAACGCTAAATTAAAATCTATTATCGTGCAACAATGAACTCACAGCAGGAGTTGAGGGATTAAGAGATATGTTCATAGACTGAGGCAGTTATTAGGAGATTATTGTGATATTACCTTCACAGCAACACAACGTATCAGCTATGTGGCGTACAAAAGACTAAAACAGCCAAGGATCAAATTGTTTCCATCCTCTGATGTCTGTTTTGCTGTTTTATATCTTGCATCAAATGAGAAAAGCTGTCAAGTGAAGTCGGTTTCAAGCTCTCTGCTTTGTTGTTGCTTCTTTATCTGGGTTACAGTTAATTGCTCTGATAACTAATGAAATTATTAACTTCAGGCACACCACAGCCACTGCTGACCTTGATCATACTCTCAGTAAGTCTGAGTAGGGGAGACCTCTTCCTGTCTTCTGTGCAATCAGCGATAATTTCACACAAACTTCGAAGCGAGTCAAAACAACAAAACAGACCTACTTAACCAATTCCCCTGGAGCACATGTCAACTTTATTTTCAACGGTGGAGATAATCATGTGAGTCTACTCCAAAGGCCTTACAGAACTCAAGAAGTAGAGCTGAAAAAATAATCTACTTGGGAAATAAACAGTTCTGCTATTTTTGCGATCACACAAAATGTACATGTTGGAGAGTGATTGGTGAGGCGGTAAGGCAGTGGTACGCAGCAGTGCTGTGCATTTAGGCTGTTAAATGTACGTAAAAAGCTGCAGTAGAAGCTGCCTTCTTCCTGCAGATCTCCTCTGTCTGTTCTTAGCCCTTCCCACTTGACAGGCAAAGGCATATGCACATGCTTCATAAGTGCAAGGAACTCTGACTGATTAAACTGTACAAGTAGCCCTATTACTTCATTTCAATCATCCCTATCGAGACTGTGATCCTGGAGCGCTTATACAGTGTCATTTCTATGAAAATAACTGCCCTGTTTTCGCTGAAAAAAATTGTGGGCCTGTAAAGAATTTTGAGATAACAGTAGCAGCGGGAGCCAACAGGTTTAGACCTGAGGCCAGTGCTTGAGTTCTATCGCTACAGTTTGAATGTCCTCAAAATCACCTCTTGTTTGTTACACACACTCTCTTAACTTTTTGAGTTAAAGAGTGTAATGGATACAGATACTAAGGTGTGGCAGGGTAAGAGTGGGTCAGCGTGACCTGAGGCAGGATATCTGGCTACGCTTAAGTGAGCAGACGGGATGAGAGCTGCAGAGGTGTCCAGGAGAAAAGCAGCGAGCTCGCAGTACAACCTGAGGTCGATGCAATCACCAAGTTCTCTCCATCTCTGAAGCACTTCACCAATACTGACACGTGTTTCATTGGGTTTATTGTCAGACTCCCTCTTTGATGAGTCCATCTCCCCTTTCTGAGGTTTCTTTAACATGTGTACGGTTGATGCCAAGGCTAGAACAGCAACTTGTCCAGCAGGATTTTCAGTGGTTTAATCAATCTTTCCAAGAAATGCATTTATAAAACAGCCAATAGGAACGCCCCTTCTCGTAAAAGACTTGTGATTGGCCGAAGTCCTATTCGGGGCTAGATCTTCTAAAGCCTGAATGTGGAGGAGGAGCAGAAGTTTTCTGTCAGACCACTAAAATTACAATATGCTGAAAGGTAATTGTGAATTTTTTTGACCAATGACATAAAAAAATGTCCATTTGTCTCAGATGTAAAGTTTTTAGAGTAATGTGTCAGGTTGCTTGTACACTGCATGGAGCAGCATTATCTGTATTCAGAATGCAGGTAGGTTATGAAACAGCACAACATTGAAGGGCTTCAAATTATTTTTTTTTAAGTATAGAGCACACTTGAAAGACGTTTTGATCACTTGGATCTTCATTAGCTCCCCAACTTCTGATCTGCTCCTCCTCTTAGTTACCTGCAGAAAGCGAGTTGGCACTGATTTCACACATCATCACCTCATGACTGCCAACTTGCATTTGCACATTAGGTACACAGTGAGCACAGCGACCATTGATTTGGAGCAAGTTTCTGTCCACCTGATGAATGGAACTCTCCCTCTCCTTCTGGTTCCACCACCTCCTGAGGGAAATATCTTGCTTTAGCTGCTAAATGTTCCACTATGTTTCCCACATTATTGCCAACTTTGTCAGCTGCACAGTTGGTCTAGAAACCAGCCGTTTGTTTTCTTGAAATAGCTGTCTATTATGGCTCGAAACAGCAAACTTGGGACTGAACTAAAACAGCAAAGGTGAAGCCCATAAAAGCAAAACAGTGATGAAATGAAATACTGTTGAAATACTCCTGATAGACAGGAAGTGCCGGCAGACTTGTTCACATTAAACAGAATTATTTGCTCCAATGGTGATATCAAAATACTAACAATAGCAGCTTTAACATCTGAAAAGAGCTGGGTATATTAAGAAAAAGACTCAGGCTAAGGCCGGACAGTTTACTGAACATCTGCTTGTTGCAATTTAATCTACAAGTGACTATCCACATAAAGTGGTGGCCATTTTATCTAAATTCATCCCATACACCATTTTATTTTTATATCTGTTTTACCATCTATCACAGAGGTAAAACTTTGCAGCCTATCAATAAAAACTGCATTGAAATATGGGCCATCATAGAAAGACTGTTCAGTTAAACTACAGCGTGCTCTTCAACCATTCCACTATCCTCGTCCTGTCTAGTCTTTATCGTTTAATCACAGCGAGAGCATCGTTGTGGATTCACACAAACCTTGACGGAGCTCTCTGCAGCCGTGAGCGATGCCTGTAGCTTGTGGGACTTCTCCCGGTTTTCCCGAGCTTCATCTGTTACCCTGGCCAGCTCAGTCCTCAGTTTTCCGAGGGTCTTCTGGAGCGCCGCCTCCTGACTCTGAAACTCCCGCCGCAGCTCGGCCTCGGTGCGTTTCCATGCCAACAGGTTGTCGGCGGTCAGCTGCTGGGTTCTCTTCATGGCCTCCAACTCGCGCTCATAAAAGGCCTGAGCCTGGGGACAAACAGGAAGATGTAAAACTGTTAATCACTGTGGCTCAACCGTGGACCTTTTAGTCATGAAAACTGGATCTGCATATTGAATGGAATCATTATGCAATTGTGCTAAAATATTTAACGCAAGTTGTAAACAAATCTGCAGTTCACAGCCTTCCATTTCTCATCAACATTATAGTTGACGAGAACGTTTTTTTTTTAACCACAACTTACATAAGAACACCTAAAAGAGCTTGTTTTTTGATGACTTGGAATATTTCCAGATGAGATACTGGCAAGCAGGTGCACACCTTTTAAATCTTTGGATTTTCTTGTAACGCTATTACACATTTGAAAAGCAGAAATTCCCAAATGTGACTCAGCAAAACGAGACAAAAGTTCACCCTGAAATCTGGTCTGATTTTTAGATCTTAGATTAGATTGGACCTAATAAGTGGAAAAATAATAATCATACACATCTTACTAAAACATGAATATGTGCACCTATAATATTCTATAATCGTCCATCTAATACAAGATGGCCTCCGCTGAAAGCATCATGCAATCATAAACTTATATAGGTGTCAACTACATGAATGTATCCACAAAATATAGCTGTTTAATCCACTGCATAGATCGAATTACAGCTTCATACTTCACCCCATAAGCTGTCAGGAAACAATCAGTCCCCTAGGTTGTTTGCAATGTTTGAAAGCAAGCAATGTCCTCTACAGTGTTGTACCTTGCTCAGTTTGGCCTCGTACTCCTCCACCAGTCTCTTCTTGTCCTGTTTGAGCTCCTCCACCCGCTCCGTCAGAGAATCCACCTGTAGACAAAAGCTCAACATGTGAAGGAGAACTCGGATTTGGTAGAGTTTAAGAACTGATCTAAATAATCCAAAAGCAACAGGATGACAACCTAAAACGTGTGTAGTGAACGCTGACACATTGATAACTTAGTAATCACTGCTGTCCCACTTTCTTTTGGTCCTCCCTGTAGTGGTTTAGTTTGTTGCTTTGGCTTTGAGGAGCTGTTCTACTTTTGCAGTAGTTAGTGTGTTACCTCGGCTTTATGGAGCTGTCCCAGTTTCTCCTGATCTTTACTGTAGTTTGCGTTTTGGCTCTGGTGGCTGCGAAGGAGCTCCTGGATCTCTTGTCTGTGCTGAGCCTTCAGCTCTTCCAGGGCAACCTTCTTCTCCTGTTCAAACTGGGCCTGGGCCTGGCTGAAAGTACGTAGCTTCTCCTCAAAGGACCGCCGCATCTCCTCCACCTCCCTTGACATGGACACCACACGCTGTGTGTGCTGCCAAAGAAGACAGGAAGGAAAGACTGAGTTAACAGGGGGATTGATTTATGGGTTGTAGACTTCTTACACAGCGGGTGACTTTTTAAAAGATCCAAGTCGGCTGGTGATGTATTTGCTTGGGGGATTCTGACCTTCTGGCTGCCAACCTGCATGCTCTAAATTGGCCCTGAAACACACTAAACAGAAAGCATCTGATCATGAAGCACTCTGAAGGTCATTGTCCAAATATATCAAGTATACACAGCATTGGTGCAGAATGTTATTATCAGGAGTTTTCCTTCATCACTTGGGTACCTACTGGCATCATTATTCAACAATGATCAGTTGCTGATCACAAAAAACACACAGCATCCTGAAGTACGTGATGCACATAATGAACATCTCTCATTGCGAGATTCACATAAACATTTTCATGCCTTTCATTTAATTTGGCTGCAGTCTGCAACGAGCCATTCATTCACTAAGGCAGCAGATAATTACACGAACGGTGACTTGCACTAACTTATGTCAGCACACAAGCTCAAAGCGTCCAGAAACACAGGCAGGCACACAAGCAGAGGACAGAGCAGGTGAAAGCTGGGACTGACTTCAGCTCAGGACTTTCTTTGATTCATCAAGGTCAGAAACAATCACAAGTAACATCATCAGTTGCTGCACTCCGATGAGAACAAACACATAAATTTACTTGAGCCTTTGTGTGGCTGCGTGTTCTTTCTCTGAGTGTCATAAAAACATACACAAACATCCATTCAGCTGTTTTTTTTATTCCTCTCTTTGTAGCTTTGAGCTGCACACACTTCATGTTTATAAATCTATCTATTCATGTAATATATATTTATCTATCTATGCAGTCTTCAACTACTGGTATTGATAAATAATAACACGGTTATACAGTTTACACCATCAAACTAGTAGCCGCACATCTCTGCCATGAACCACAAATAACAAAGGTTTGTTGTTGCCGATTCATCCAGCAGCCCCGTCATAGAGAACTTAAATCTCATGTGGTGGACTCATGCTAAAGTATTACTGCTAACAATGTTAATATACACTGATTTTGTTTTGTTATAGAATTTTAGCATTCAGATTTAACTACTTTTCTTGCAAATTGTACAGTAAACAAAATAACAAACAAACAACTGGTGCAGAAACTAATTCACATTCAGTCCCATTTATGTGTCCTGGGCACAGGAGACAGTTATTGGATATCGAAGTGAGAATGCATTGTTTGCATTGACATGCAGTCCAGGCACATGTTGAAAAGTTTATGCAGAAGTATTTGTAATCTTTACTTGTCCCAACTGTAACTACACCAAGTGATCTGTGGAAATAGCCACTACGTAATAATGGCAGGTGCAGTTACTTTCCAGTGGACTTATCCATAGTTCCCTGTGTTTAATCGCAGCGACAGAAGCAGGCAGCTCCAGGGATTTGAACACTTAAGATCACACAGAAGGCACTGTGAGGTGTTCTAGCATCAACCTAAAACCTGGTCAGTGCAAGCGCTATGCGATTTTGTGTAGTTCTCATCTGTTTATGAATAGTTATGGACCAGCTACTGCAACTGGAAGTTCATTGTAGTCTGGTGATGAAGATGAGCTTTTCTGTCTCTGGTCCAGCCTCTCCTCCATCCTCCCATCACTCTATTCACCCAAATCATCCAATCACTGCTTTCTATTACCTTCTATTAGGCTTAAATTAATTTAAAAACAAGCCTTTTCTTCATTCTCTCCTCGACCTTGCCTTGCAGGCACCCATCACCACCCCAGCTCCCCCTTTCAAGAGGACTCAGGCCTCCTTCCCGGGTCAGGCTCAGACACCCTCCTGCAGAGTACTCTTCCAGGAGCTGCAGCAGCTTCAGTCAGAGCACCCATGGAGTCTGAGTCTGCACCAAACGCTCAATAAATTCTGGCATCTCATATTTCTCACATTCATGTGGTGAAGTCTCTTCTGGTATACTTGCTGTAACCACGCTGTTAGAGTGCATACGTCAATACTTGTATAAATCAAGCTTTTGTGGTGTTAATTATTAGTTACCAAATAGCTACCAAAAACTACTTGCCACCATCCTCTGGGCTCCCTCTGACCTGCACATAGCCTGGCAGGACCAGGATTGATGGAAATTACATTTATGATGCAGCGAAAGTTGCAGCTGGAGAAGATCTAAAGAGCCCTGATAGCTACTACAAAAGGAAGTGAAGCAGGTGATGCTGACAAAGACAGACTCTCCTGCCTCACAGCAGGACAGAGAGACAACACAATACTGATGACCTGGAGCTGTAACTGCAGGGTCCAGCTGCCTCAGACACACAGACATCACGTCATTGTTCCATCTACCTGAGCCTCGGTGCAGAGCTGCATGTCCTCCACTCTCTGACGGTAGCTCTCGAACTCGGCCAGCGCCTGCCTCTTCATCCTCTCATGGAGCTCCATGGACTCCTCCAGAGACTGGATCCGCCTCTTCAGATCCATCTCATCGCTGATCTTGCTCTTGTACTGGGACAAATGAGTAAGCTTCAGTTAGGGTAAACCGTGACCTCCAAATGTGTTGTTTTCATAGTTGGGAGTGTGGAAATGTTGCCACATGTGGCACATTAAAGGTGCAGAAAATGCTCAAAAATTGCCTTTTGTCACAGTGTTAAGAAATCCTTCAAACTCTGCAAAACTTTATCTTCAGATATTACGCTCTCAAACAGTCCAAATAAGAGGCCTGAAAGTATATAAAAGTAGACAAACAGCATGGATTTCAGCTTTAATTAAATTGCATTTTTGAATGGATTGGCTGATGTGCACAGACTTCTAAATTGGCCTTGATTTTCCTCATAATGATAAACAAATGAAAGTGAAAATTAAGGGATTAAAAAGGTCCAGTTGAATGAATTATGTTGCATTCAACCCACAGCAGTAAACACTGCCTTCAGGGGGACGCTGTACAGTGGTACAGCATGAAAAAAGTCTGTGTATGTAAGTTTAGCTGATCGAGATTTGTCACATTGCTCACAGAGAAGCAAGTCCTTTTCATTAGCAGTGATGACATACAGACTAAATAATTAAAATTCAGCTGATTAAACATTGATGAGCTCATTTTGAAAAGGAGTCTGAGTCGTACAGTGGATCGGCTGCCATCTGAGAGTCTCCAGATTTAGTTTTGCTATAGATGACTGGAAGATGTACAGTGATACTGTCTCATCTTGACTGAATGACCAGCATATGGCCTTTGACCGCCTGAGTCTTCTATACACAGTCCTTTCAGCTATTTAAACCCTGTCTTAAATCAATAGTGCAAACAGAATCAAAGCCTCCTCCTACAGATGCAAATGAGACCAAAACTTCTCTCTGCTATTCCATGAACTTAACCAGAAAAAGACTATTTGTAATTCATGAGCTGTCAGTCAATCCAGAAGTCAGGAAATGCTTTTATTCATTCTTCAGAGGAAGCAGAGATCGATCACCTCACTTATCTAAACTACAGTCACAAAGCTATTGCCTCTTTCCTTCAAGTATCTGCATCCCTCAAGCCTAAATGTTAAGAAACCAAACAGTAATGAGTCCTGTCTGCTTCTAGCATTTAAAATATACTGTATATATAAATGTAGGAAGTATTGTTTTTCCTACGACAGCATCAATAGAAATATAGTGGTATAGAGTAAGTATAAACCTGTAGTATCTTCTCTCTGGTCTCAGACAGAATCTGCTGCACCTCCTCTTCATGTGCCTCCTTCAGAGTGGCGATGGCTGCCTCATGTTCATCGTTTTTTGTGTTCAGTGCATAGATAACCTGGAACATAGGAAAAAGAAACACATTAGCTGTTATACAGCACACAGCAGGAGTACAGCCCTATGCAACTTTACTTAACAGCGGTAATCAAGAGGTCCAGCACGAGCCATACTAACACTAATCAGTGGTGGAGAGGCCGTCCTATAACGACGTCAAGGGACAGTGCATTACTGTTACAAACTAGGTCTGAAAAAGCCAACCTTCAAGAGCTTTAGACTTGCAAATCAGTTTCTACAACAGTTCAGACAGTGTAATGGACACTGTATAATGTCAGGCTTGATACATGGCATCCAAGAAAAACACCTGCTCGGTACAAAACTGCAAGATTACATTTTGTTAAAGAACATGAAAAGAAGCCTGATAGATACTGGGGCCACATTCTTTAGTCAATGAGACCAGGATAACTATTTGGCTCAGATGGAGTTCAGCGCGTTTGGCATGAATCTGGTCAGAACTATCCCAGTGAATGCATAGTCCTGACAGTGAAGCACAGATGTGGGAGTGCGATAATATGGGGTTGCCTGAGTGTAAAAAGGTGTTGGAGGGACGACATTTATTGATGGCGCCATGAGTTCCTGTGGATAAATCAAAATACTGGCTGCCAAGATGACTCTCAGTCTGCAGAGTCGTGGCAGAAGAGGAATATTCCAGCATGATAACATCCAAAACACACTGCCAAATGAAATCAAGAGTTTCTAAAGAAGAAAAAAAGTGAACACTATGACCTGGCCAAGTATGCCTCTATCCAACAGAACACCTTGAGGGTATTTTAAAGGGAAAGGCAGAGCAACACAAAGCCTCCAGGAAAGAGCAGCTAAAAGAAACATCGTCACAACATCTCTCCAGAAACTTGTGCAACGCTGGCATCCTCCACGTTGAGAAGAGTCTGTCATCAACAATAAGGGTGGACACATAAAGTATTGACACTGAATTTCAGTAATGACTTTTGTTGCACTGGGTTCCTGTTGTGGGGAATGTATTGTTTACGTACGTCATTGAAACTAATTAGTGTTTATTTTTACATAAGAGCAAATACCATACTGTTAAACTTAGAAGTGAAGCAATTAGTTTAAGGTCATACAATGTTGAATCATTTAAAATTTCAGTGGTATCACGCAGGGCTTCACTCACTTCTGCTGTGTACTACACATGATCACAATGAGGACTTAATAGAGCATCATTACTGTTGGGAGACTGAACACATCGCTCATAGTTTGGGTTAAACCAACATGTTAGGACTGCTGCTGTGTTGGATGGATTTTATTGAAAAATGAATGTGCATACTAGCAGCGGAACATGACAGCACGAGGATAAAGTAAGGAAACATGATGGCAGAATAACAAGATGAAACGAAGGCTGATATTGATGTTTTTAGAACGAAGCTTCCAATGCTCAGTATCTTTTAAATGTATCCTTCAGTGGATTGAAAAGCTTCTCATACAGCATTTATACAATCAAGCCCATGAATTCTTTATATGTAGAATAGTTGGTACTCTACGTAGGATGAGGATATGGAATATGCAATATAACATGGAAAAATCATTGCTAATCAATTTGAAGAAATACCTAAACATTTTAAGAAATCTGTTTTCCATCTTTAGCTGAGAGCTAAAAGAGAAGATCAATATCACTCTCTTAAATGTTGAATTTGAAGCTGCAGCCAGTAGCCATAACTGTAACTGAGCATGAAGAGAGGAAACGACTATCCTGGCTGTGTCTAAAGGTAACTAAACATCCCTGCAGCTCCTCTATAAACAAGTTTAGGAAAGAAAGCAAATGTATGCTAAACCACTCTTTTGACAAAAAAGATTCCTTTGTGGAAGTGAAATACCATGAAAATGCTCATCATAGTCTCACACAAATCAGCGGAGAGATCAAATGCAGACGCAGGGATTAAGGATGCCTTCACATAATATCTATAATGCTACTGCATTGCAAATGAGCAGAAATGGCAAATGAACGAGCTACGGTACTGTATATAGCTGGCGTACAGCTGCATACAGTATGCGCTGCAGAAAACCTCCCCAACCGCGGCTTGATGATTCTAGTATTAGCTCCGAAGCATGAGCGATGCCCCACGGTCATAAATTAGAAATTGGTTGATGCTGTGTATTGCTAGGGGATAAAAATAACACAAGCAAACTGTTGTGCATGAGATTGACCTTTAAATCCGTCCCAAAAATACATGCAGCCATCCAGAGAGCCATAATCTGACAGCGCAGTGATCCCCTGCTCACAGGCAGGGAGAGAGGACAGAAATGGGTTTTTACATTTCCACATGAAAAACCATGAGACACTCTTCTCCTTGCTTCTCCCCCATGCCGTGAGAAACAAAGCTATGCGTTGCCTCTTTGAAAAAACCAAGTCAATAATTCAGCACATTGAACTGTGCAAGGGTGCTAAAGAGCCTTTGTTTACTTTGGACCAAAGTCCATCAGCTGAATTAGAAAAGGGAATGCAGGAAAAAAAAAAAGAGGAGAGAAAAAGGAGGGCAAAAGCTTTCTTTGAAACAATGACATCCACTTTTAGTGCTTGGCACTGCCTTCCTGGGAGATGAAAGCATATACTTTGACAAGTGGTGGTGTTTTTCATATTCCTATTTGTTTATTCCTCACACGATCGCTCTGTTTCTGCTGACAGCCGCAGACCTTTACTCAGTGAGGGAAATAAGTCACACTGTGATCAAGTGCTACTCAGCCATGGGAAAACCTGTGAATGTAAATATGACAATTATCCTTTCCTGTGTATGTTCTCATCTGTTTCACACCTTTCATTTGCCCAATTATTCATAGTTATCACTCATTTATAACCTGACCATTGGCTGTTGGTTTCACTATTTGCTGCTGCGCTTCTGTTTTTCATTAAAAACTGTTTACTGTCTTAACAGAATTAGGAGCCAACAGCTATATTAATGGCTCTGTCAGGCTCCACTTTGCTTGCTGTTTGTTTTAAAGGTTCTACATGGGTTGGCACCATGTTATTAAGCAGAACTCTTGCATCATTATACCCCAGAGGGAGCACTGAGATCAAGCAACAAGATGCTCTTGGATGTTCTAAGATCCAGACAAAAGCAGAGGCTTTTCTTTCATTTATCTAGATACAGAATTTGTTAATCTTCATATTAGACTGAGATGTTCAGCGTGTTAATTTGTGAACATGCTAAATTACAGCAAATGAACTGAACTATTTGTTTGCAGCTATTGGATCATAAATCAAGCTCTTGACAAATTAAAGTTCTGACTTGTTAATTTAGGTAAAATATGCACCTACAAGCCACAACATGAGAACCACTGAAAGGTCACTGTTACAATGCAGCGTTCTGTAGGGAAACCTTGGGTTCTGTTACTTTGGCACATACTACTTGGAAGGCAAATTTTAAAAAATGTTCTCAACCAATAGTCGATCACATTATCCATCAATCCTCATGATCGTTAAAACAAAGGATGTGCAGCCATTTTTCTGTACACCATATTTAACCACAGACACTAAAGGCTCAGTTACAATGGACACTGATTTACAGGAAGTCAGTCTTGCCACAGACATCCGTGTCATGGTGCCCGTTGTCAGATAAACCCCAACAATGCTCTATGCTTGCCAAAACAAAACTGCTTGAGGTCTGAACGACCGCCTGTTCTGGTTGCTAAACTATTAAAACACAGCCAACAAGCTGCAGTGTTCCCATTCATTAAAATACCAAGACACCAGGTACATTTTCATTTAATATACTTTTAATCTGTTAAATTGTTCATGGCAATTAATCAGTTAATGGTTAGTCACAACAAAAACTGCTCAGGAACTGCTTGAGGAACCCAAAAAAGAGCCCAAGGAATTGATTCAATAGGGTCAGAATCCTTTTGGTGGCACATGGGAGAACTACACAATATTAGACAGGTGATTTTACTATTCTGGCAGATCGGTGTAAGTAATACCATTTAATGATCTCAAAAGTACATGACATAAACGTCAGCATCTAAGTTAATGGCAATCCATGCAACAACTGCTGAGGTATTTCACCAAACATATACAGCTGAACACCTAACAGTGGGGAAGCCAGAGGATCACAAAGGATCTATCACGACTGTCTGTCCAAAATTTAATGGAAATCTAGTTGTTGAAATATGCAAGTATTTCAGTCAGACTGACATCCCCAGTACCACACGGCCAGCACTGCAAATAATTCACACATTGATATATATTGATAACTACAAGGGCACTCAGAAAGCACAGTCCTCTGCCAAGGCCAAGGCCCTGTCTTGCAGCTTTAAAGGAAGTGATCCAGATCTGCACTAAAATTTAATGGGTACTTTTTCTTCCTGTAATCCACCTCTCCACCAAGTTCACGATACTGAGCCTGGTAGTTTTTGCATAATCGTGCTGACAAACAGGCGACAAATGGCACAGAAAATATACCTCTGCTTCAGCAGAAAGATAAGGTTAGAACATAAACCTCTCAAGTCAAGCAAAATAAGGGTTATTTATACGGGCAAAAATCAGAAGTCTACTCCAGAGGGCTTTGCAGTCTGTACTTTAATTTGGACCTCTCATGTTTAGTCTCTTTCACTGCTTCCTCGTGTTCGCAAATGAGCAATGAACCATCCAAGATCAGAGAGAAACTGCAGAGAGCCAAATAAAGCTGAGAAAATTTGGTTTCTTCCAAAATAAAACATCTTCCCCTCAACACGTCTAAATTATTCAGCCGGCTCGGTCTCTCATCAGCTTAGGAAGTGAATGAAGCAGACATAACAGTTAGTGGAGCTAAAATCTCCATCACATCCTGAGAGTCATCGGGACACTCCTGCAGATGAAACGCACTAATCATAATGCTGTTGTGTCTGCCGTTACACCCACGCAAGAGGAGGCGCACGAGTATCGGGGTAATCACAAATACACAACAGTGCGGGCTGTCAGAATCCTCATGAACCAATGAACCCATGTCCAAAGTCATCAGTGTAATTTGCCAGACAAACGGTCAGAGACGGAGATGGAGCGGAAGAGACGAT